AATCCTGTGACCAACAGTTTTAACTAAAAGCTTGTATTTTTGTACCAATTTTTATTTGACTTCCTTGTGTATTATAGATGACCAGATACATTACCTGTTGTCTAGCACTTGCAGAACAGTTAAAAGGGCAGTAGCCAGTATCATACCCCATTACTGATGCTAATGGAAATCGTTTTAGTGATGTTTCACCATTAGACCTAAGCTGTGCTGCCACGTGTTTGTGTGTGTGTCTTTTTATGTGTTTTCAGGTACAGAAACCCCAAAGACACACATCTATAGTTTTAAGAGGTTTTTTAAAATTTGGAAATAGAAAGGAAATGCATGAAATACTTTTTGTCAGTATGATATTAGGATATTTTGATTTTGATCTGTTATTCTAGCTACTAATTATAGATTTTAGCAGTCATCTCTTAATTTAGTATTTTCTATCCCTTTGCTCTATACTTAAATAACCTTGTTTGTGTCTTTATGGTTCATTTTATCTTCTTTGTCCTAGTTAGCATAGTTCAATTAATTCAAAGAAATAGTCCTTAGATTTATCAACTGAATTTCATAAGTGTATTATATATACTTTATACATACTTGTTTTTTCTAATTTCAAGTTATAAACTGTCAGCCCTGTCACTTACAGACTCTAAGTTCTAGCATGATTTAGAGGAACTAAAAGAGAAACAGCACCATGAAAGTGGAATTTCACCTTTCAAACTGTGGGCAGATAAAGAAGTAATTGAAAGCCATGCGTAGGGTTCAGTAGGCTGCAAAGGCATGTTAGAAAGGAAAAACCATCAAGCATTAAGGGAAAGAAGGAAGAACCAAAAAATAGGGACTGTAAATTATAGTTTCTTAACAACTCACTCCAATCATTACGAAAGGGGCATCACAATAAAAAATTATGCAAAAAGTTTAATTGTGAGGGATAGTTTCGTTAATCACTTGCAAATAAAAAGATGGTATGGAAAAAGAACAAGAAAGCACTAAACACAGAGAATCTTTTAATTTGTATTTTATTTGTATTTTACTTAGTTTTTAAGATTCCATACGATCAGTAGATACAAGTCTTAAGAACAACGGTAATCCCTCCCTCCCTTCTACCTTCCTCTCTTCTCTCTTTGTCACTGTCTTGTCTTTATTTTTATATTTAGTTTTTAAAATAACATTCTAAATTTACATTACAGTGAAAAAAAAAAGCTCACTACTTCACTGAAAAGAAGGTTAGCAAGTCGAAAATAAGGTCTTAGTTTAGACAGAGCACAGCCTGTAGGTATAAACAAAATTGAACACTACAGTTTTAATGATGTAGGGTTGCTTTAAAATTTACTGTAGATGAATGAAATCTGGGGAAGTCATTCTTCTACCCCCTCCCCAAAGGCAGTTTTTATTGATACAAAGAGAACAAATGCTTTGTGTTCCACAGGTACAGCTCCAAGAAGGCAGCCACGCTTCCCCCACTCTGCTGCTTCCCCGAAACACTCCCTCCCCTCTCTGCAACACTATTTCTTCTAAAGATCATACGTAGTAAAAATGTAACTGTGATGAGCTCTTTTGAGAAAAATCACATTGCTTCAAAATATACTGAATTTAACCTGGGTGTCTCAAGAGAAGATGGTTGCATGCGTTGTGTGTGTTGGTTTTAACTGTAGTAATGAAGATTTGGGGTGTCAGAATTTCAGTTTACAGTGAAAACCCATCGTGTGATAAAGTAGGTGGGGAAAATCCTACTGCAAATAATATGATTGGTCTCCTAATATTCTAATATCCTAGAACCAAAACTGATAAAGAAGGTTATCTGAAAATGTTAAAACTAGAAATCAATTCAAGTATTATCAAATGTACATTAATCTTTCCTAATAGTTTTTATAGTATGTGATTTGATTGGATTCTTCGAAAAGGTCATGGAAAAATTGAACAGCTCAAAACAAAAAAGATAGTTTCTAGTATCTGAAGTTTTTTTGCTTGTTTGAAAGAGCGATCTTTCATTTCCTGGTTCACTCCTCAAATGCCTGCAACAGCTGGACCTAGGCCAGCAGCATGGAAATCTTGCAGCTACCCAAGTTTTTTGACCCCCAAGTTTTTTGACGCGTTTGTGATAGCATCAAAGCATAGCTCAGGCTTTGTAGTCCTAAGTTTTAAATGTGTTTCTGAATACGAAGAATTTATGACAATTATGAACATCAAAGTGTGAAGTCTTCCCACCACCACTTGCTTTCATTTTATTCCTGGATCATAAATCTGAAGTTATATCATTGAGCACACCTTATAGCATGTAACAATACTTATTTTGTTCCCATTGGTAGGAAGAAAGCAGCAGGAAAATTACACGTTCAGTCTTATATTGCTGTTATTTTCAGCCACAATACTTTTTCTTGCTAAGTGTAGTGATTGTGTTGTTGTTATGTTGGTATAATGCATTTTGAAACAGAGCCAGTGAAATGGATCAAATATTTGTTTGTAATTATTTAGTGTGATTTTTAAAGGTCAATCTCATTTACCTTTAATATATTAGTACTTGGAGCATTTTGTTTAAAATTTCTTAAAAATTAGTAGAAACAATATTAACCCAAAAATTAAATCATGAGATCAATTCTCATCACTTTTCTTCCTTTTGATATTTTTTCAATATATTGAGAATTGGAATTCAAATAAAATGTTGCTTTTTCATCACAAACTAGTTATCCTGAAAATGTAATTTTTAGTTAAACAAAAGTGAAGGTGTTAGAATTGGTGTTGATGAAATTGCAGTTGGCTGTAGTTAAAAATAAAGTGTCCAATAAAGGAAGTGTGACTTGAATTTACTTCCACGTGGATAACGGTTTAATAAGTTAGATTATTGCAATGTCATCCCCTGGGGCATTTGAACAGATCACAGAACTAACATATATTGGCCCCAGTGTTTGCATCTATTTGTAAATATCTTGTACCTAGTGCAAAATCCTTCCAGTCAAGAATCCGAGCCAGGTTCTTCCTTTCTCTTTTTTGGCCTCAGAACTTGGCTTCAGAAACTTTATTCACACTTTTTAAGCTCCCTTCACAAAACAAGAAGATGCAATGATTGTCTATCAAGTATTGTCTTGTTGCTACCTTTTGCCAATACTTTATGAAACTTCTTTCCTAGGCAACAGAAGTGCTCTAATGCTCTTACATTTTATTTTTTCAAAGACTTAACTTTGTTTTAAGGGAAAGTCTTATCGTGTGTTGAGGGTAAGCAGTTCTTACTTTTGCTGACGTGATAGTAAAAGCTGAGATCTTTACTTAAATTTTATTTGAAAGTTTATTTGAAAGGTAGAATGGGAGAGGTAAATGGAAAGAATGACGGAGACAAGACATCTTCCATCTATTGTTTCATTCTACCAATTGCTGTAAATTTCAGTGTTGGGTCAGCGGAAGCCATGAGCCCAGGATAACATTTGGATCTCTCACATGGAGTAGTTGATAGTTAAGCCCATCTTCCATTGCCTACCCAGGCACTACAGCAAGGGCCTCCATTGGAAGCATAGCAACTGGGACTCAAACAGGCAGTTTGATATGAGATGCTGGCTTCATAGGCTGCAGCTTACTTTGCTGTGCCACAATGCCACTACTGAAGCTTGGAATCTTTTTTTTTTTTTTTTTTTTTTTTTTAAAGATTTATTTTTATTATTTTTTCATTGGAAAGGCGGATATACAGAGAGGAGAGACAGAGAGGAAGGTCTTCCATCCGATGATTCACTCCCCAAGTGAGCGCAACGGGCCGATACTATGCCGATCCGAAGCCAGGAGCCTCTTCCGGGTCTCCCACGTGGGCGCAGGTTCCCAAAGCTTTGGGCCGTCCTCGACTGCTTTCCCAGGCCACAGGCAGGGAGCTGGAAGGGAAGCAGGGCTGCCGGGATTAGAACCGGCGCCCATATGGGATCCCGGGCGTACAAGGTGAGGACCTTTAACCACTTGCGCCACCGCGCCGGGCCCCTGAAGCTTGGAATCTTAAGAAAGAATAACAAGTTATGTTTAATAGCATACCCAGTGTTTTCAGCTTATAAAAATCCACTTTTAGGGGGCAACACAATGGCTCAACCGGTTGATCCTCTACCTGCAAGTGCTGACATGCCATATGGGCAGCGGTTCAACTCCCAAATGCCCCACTTCCTATCCAGCTCCCTGCTTGTAGCCTGGGAAAGTAGCGGAGGATGACCCAAATCCTTGAGACCCTCTATGTGGGAAACCTGGAAACAGCTTCTAGCTCCTCACTTTGGATTGTCTCAGTTCCAGCTGTTACAGCCATTTGAGGAAGAGACCCTGTGGATGGGAGATCTTTCTGTCTCTGCTCTCTGGAAATCTGCCTTTCTAATAAAAGTAAATATTTTTTTGAAAAGTGAAGCAAACAGAACTCAAACTAGTGTTCATATGCTGGCATTTCAGATGGCAGCTTAACCTGTTATGTCTCAGTGTCAGCTCCAAGAATATAAATTTTTTATACATTTGGGAAGGCCAAGTTCCAGTTGCTTCCAAATTAGGGCCAAGTGTCTGTGCTTCCAAGATGACACCTTAAACATAATAACCACTGGAGGGGAAGAATATCTTGTCTTCTTGTGGCAGAAGAGCTAGAACCCGTCCCCTGACTTCTATTTATAGTAGCAATAATCTGTTCTTGTAGGTGATGCCCTCAAGACCCCATTGTATACCTCTTCCCAATATTGTGCTGGAAATTAAATTTTTAACACATGAATTTTGAGGAACACATTCAGATCATCACAGCCAGTGAGGCTCCATGGGGACTGGTCTTAGCTTTTCTTTGGCCATTATGTCACTGTCTGCTCTAATCAGATTGAGCACCATTAATTCCTTCATCATGCCATTTTGGGCACCCAGGTATCCAATTCACTGCTCATCTGTCAGATCTCATCTCTGACTTCCAGACCCATCTATTCACTGAAACATGTGTCTTCATAATAATTGGACATCTACCTGGTTTTAAATTTTTGCTTGTCTTTTATTAACCTCGGGTTTTTGTGCTTGCTTTCTCTTAGGAGGTGTGGATACCCTCGGTGTTTGCGTGCTCCTTCCTAGTCCAGTGTGATTTTCTGAAATGGAATGAGGCAGAACAGTCATCACCCTTTGGTGTGCAGACCTGAGAGAAGCCTGGGATGGTCTTGAGTGCATGTTACTAGAATCCAGTTGCGACGATGAGTTCAGACGAGAAGGGCGTGTCCCCTGCTCATAAAACATCCACACCAACCCACAGAAGTGCCTCCTCTTCAGTATCCTCCCAGAGGGACAGTAGGCAGGTAAGTGAAGAGTGGAAAGTACATGTTGTTATTTTTGTCCTTTCAGAACCATTAAGAACAGATGGGATTGTTCATTCTTTTTGAAATTTTGTTGTGAATACATTTATGCCACAGGACAAAGTGTTGCTTTATGTAGATACACCTGATGGTGTCAGGAAACGCCTGCTCTTGTTTTTCTGTGATTTAAGATCCTTTTCTAAAATACAGAGCACAGAAAAGAGACATGGTTCTCGGGGGAGGCTTTCGGTTTGCTCACAGCCTGTATCAGGAGGGAATTCAGCATCAGGACCTTGGATTTTCCTTCCTGTCATCCGTGAAAGTGGAATGGCATCTATGAACCTGCACTTGCTGGACTTCTTCCCATAAGATTACCACTGGTCCGACAGGCCATAACTTCTGTTTGGCGTTTTGTAGAATCTGTCAGATCCAGAAAATGTCTTACAAATAAAGTTATAATATCAAGAAATTGAGAGCACTGAAAACTCAGTGTTTAAAAGCAACAAACAAGATAAATTGTCTTTGTTTAGTTATAGTAGAAAATATCTGTCCCTTGTCTCATGTGAGTCAATTCTGTATGAATTTTGCTTACAGTTATGTCAGAACTATTTTAGTGGCTCTCCTACTTTCAGTGTTTGGGGATTCTTTGCATGAATATTCTTCATTTTCAAAAGAAGTGGTTTGGGCCAATACAGATGTGAGTGTAACCATTTTCCATTATAATATGAGAGCACTTAAAAATGGGCATGGAAAATGAAATTGAGTACAAGTTTAGTTTGAAGCAAAACATTTGAAAAACATGTATACAAAGAGTCATCAAAAAGTTTGTGGAATTTTGTATTATGAAAAAGCAATACATAAATTTTAAAAAACTTTTGTACCAAAATAAACTTATTTCTCAATTCACTTCTCCATGATTTTTGAGGTATTTTCTTTTTTTTTTTTTAAGATTTATTTATTTTATTGGAAAGGCTGATATACAAAGCTGAGCCCATCTGAAGCCCGAAGCCAGGAGCTCTTCTGGGTCTTCCAAGCGGGTGCAGGGTCCCAAGGCTTTGGCCCATCCTCGACTACTTTCCCAGGCCACAGGCTGGGAGCTTGGTTGGAAGTATGGCTGCCAGGATTAGAACTGGCACCCATATGGGATCCTGGCACGTGCCTGGCGAAGACCTTAACCACTATGCCAATGAGCCGGGCCCTTTGAGTTATTTTCATATTGTCTTGTGGCAATATTTAAATATGTAACTTGAAATTCTCAGTAAATAGTTTGCTAATCTTTCATAAAAGCTATATTTTCATATTAAAGTATGTGGTCTAATTTATAGAAGTGTAAGTATCACATCAAATAGATATGGACCTGAGATGCTAGTTAAGGTGTAAATTCATTCTTGTAATAGTCAGACTACAATGCTAGGTCTGCTCTTCAGAGAATCCTAATCACAAACCCTCGCAGCATTCTTTCTCCTATTTCTAGTGAGAAATTCCAGTGAATTTGTAAGAATCAGGGATTCCTCAACATATGTGTCTTGCATAGGTCCTAAGGCAGAGAAAATTTTTGCCATTGGTGTCCTTTGAGCTGGGCTCAAAAGAAGACATCTGCTTTCCAGTACCTGTAAAATGTATTATTCCAACCCCACATAGCCTGTATCTCTCTCTCTCTCTCTTTTTTTTTTATTAATTACATCGCATTATGTGACACAGTTTCATAGGCTCTGGGATTCCCCCAACTCCTCCCTCTGCCCTCCCCCCATGGTGGATTCCTCCACCTTGTTGCAGTATTACAGTTCACATTCAGTCAAGATTCTTTCTTTGCAAACATATACCAAGCATAGAGTCCAGCATCTTATTGTCCAGATAATGGTCTCCCCAAGAAACCGTTGAACAGCCTGTACTTCATGCAATAAGATACTGTGCTGTAACCAATGAACGAACCATCAATGTGAGTCAGACTGCTTATGATCCACATCAAAGAATTGTAAAACCTAACATACTTTTAAGACCCTAAGCTACTTGGAAATGGGGCGGGAGAGCAGAGAAATCTTCCATATCCTTAGAATGTGTGAGGAAGACGTGAAGTATAACCGATTGGGAACATAAGAGATAATTTATAGGGCCCGGCGCGGTGGCGCAAGTGGTTAAGGTCCTTGCCTTGCATGCCCAGGATCCCATATGGGCGCCGGTTCTAATCCTGCTTCCCATCCAGCTCCCTGCCTGTGGCCCAGGAAAGCAGTTGAGGATGGTTCAAAGCTTTGGGACCCTGCACCCGCGTGGGAGACTCGGGAGAGGCTCCGGGCTTCTGATCGGCATAGCATCGGCCGTTGCGCTCACTTGGGGAGTGAATCATCGGACGGAAGATTTTCCTCTCTGTCTCTCCTCTCTGTATATTCACCTTTCCAATAAAAAAAAAATATTTAAAAAAACAGATAATTTATAGACAATAGGCTAGAATCAGCATTAGACAATAGTAAAACTACAAGGACATATAGGGAAAATCAAGAGCGATCCTGACAACCCCTTAACAGGAGGTCATATGCACAGAGCAGGGCATAACCCAGAGTGGAACAAGTAGACAGGAGGAAGCTTGTATCCCAACGCTGGGGATTCCCGGATCCTCACCAAGGACTATCAGTACAGGCACCAAGGACTACATCCCAACTGCCAAGGAGACCATGGGGAATTGGAGTGCCTTCAGAGGCCAAGAACTCTGAGGTCACCCACTCCCATTTGGACCTACCACATGGGATGGAAGCCCAAATCCCTCCTTGCAGGATCCAAGGTCATTGGAACAACAGCCAGGAGCCCTGAGCAGTCCGCAGAAACAGAACAGTAAACTTCCTTCAGGACTAGGGAGGGGAACTTTCTCTGGTCCTTACTTAGTTCCAAATTTGGATCCCCATCTTCTCTTGCAATGACCATCAGGGTCACTCCGGAGGCACTCCCCCCCATTAGAATAGATAGAGAACAACAAGGAAAGCTTAGAATCAGACAGGAAATGGTCAGCGTGGATTCACATATACCTTACTAGGTGAGATACAAAAATTAGTTAGTTACTCCTCACTAAGGTATTGAAGATTTCTCTGCACACCCCTCCTAAAACTGTTCTGCACTTCAACTGTTGACATATGCCTTGTTAGAGTTATAAGCCAGTTTAGACTATCCTAAAATCTGTCAAGTTCAGCAAAATTATGCTTCAACACTATAAACTGCTAAATACAAAAATGAAAAAGACATGAGATAGCTGAATAGTACTCTATAGCCATTTTAAGGTGTATAGCAGCCAGTTCTGTATATAAACTAAAATTGAGATGTCAATGAATTAGTCACAGGATGTGGTTAAGAACTTGCATTTTTTAAAACATATTGGTTACTCAATACCATGTCAATTAATTCCAAAATGTTGCAAATTGTTGTTGATGTTGTGTTGGGGCTTTTAATTGATCAGGATGGTATTCTGCCAGCTCTGCCTTCAGACCAGAGATGGTCTCCTTAAGAAACCGTTGAATTTATCTGACAATAAGATGCTCTATGTTTGATATATGTTTGCAAAGAAAGAATCTTGACTGAATGTGAACTGTAATACTACAACAAGGTGGAGAAATCCACCATGGGGGGAGGGTAAGGGGAAGGGTTGGGGGAATCCCAGAGCCTATGACACTGTGTCACATAATGCAATGTAATTAATAATAATAATAAAAAAACCAAGAAGACATCTGTTTTCTGTTAACTGGAAGTAAGGAAATTGATAATTAATTATGTGATTGTATAATCATAATATGTGTTGCTTTGCATTTGTAGAATCAAAAAAGCAGGGGTAACATGAATGAAAAGGTTTGTATATCAAATAACTACCTTATACTTCAAAGCTAAGTTTTTTGGGGTTTTTTGTGTTTGATTTTTTATTTTTCTTTATGTTATGACACCGTTTAATAGGTACTGTGGTCCCCTTTTCCCTTCCCCAAGCTCCCTCCCCTCCCCACCGTCCCTGCCTCCAGTCTTACAATGGATGTCTAAGATTTCAAGTTCAGTCTATCCCTTGCTTGTCCCTCTGCCCTCGCTGCAGGCATTTCAGTTGAACAGCCTGACCTTCCAGGCTGCTGGCTGGGAGGAAGGGATTGTCTCCCCAGCTCACTCTGGGGAATTCTCGTGATAGCATAAGGCTAGTTAGTGATTGCCCTAGAGTTACCGGTCAAGTGGGTGTTGTTGATCTGCTTTTTGCATTTGTGCGCCAGGAGCAGCACACAACACATAGAGGAAAAACTGCCAGAGGACTGAGAAGGAAGGTATTTTGCGAATGGAAAATGTTATAACCTGAATGATGTCTGTAAATTAATTGTGAAAAGTAAGAGCTGCTGTTATTTTTTAAAGGAGAGTTTTCCTTAACTCTTCCATATAGTTTTTCCTCTGGTTCCTTGCTGACTCTGTTTTCTGTCAGTCCATCTCCCTTGAAGGAGAAAAGCATAAAAGAGAATTGCAGCTCCGTTTTTCCTTTGCTTTCTTAGTCATGATCTAACGCCCAGAGTTTATGCATGGGACTCAGACATTGTGAGCGATCCTGTGATGTGAGGTGATAAGTGTCAGTGCTTTCTGTTTGTGTCGCTGTTTTGCATGAAAATCATGTTCCCTATTAAGAGACTTGGAGAAAATGTGATAAAATATCCATGCTCCTGATTTGAGTGATAGCTGTGCAGATGGAGCCAAACTGCCAACTTCAATCTAGTTTCTGTTCTAAATTGAGTATTTGGAGGTAGGAAACCTCTGGCCCACCGACTATGTAACACCCATGAAATCATTTTATCCAGGCCTGCCCAGGCAACTGTGGACAGGACTAGTAACTTTATACTTCTGCAGCAGGCTGATCTCCAAGTTGATAGTGTTTTATTTTATGACCCATGATAATGTTATTTTTTATTTATTTTTTTTAACGTTGCATTATGTGATACAGCTTTTTAGGTACTGGAATTCCTCCCTCTCCTCCCCCCCATGGTGGATTCCTCCACCTTGTT